GGGATATATGTAGGTTGGATGTTTTGGAAGATAACAGAAGAGGGTGGTTATTGGATGGTTATGAGCTTAAGGTTGGCAAAGGAAATAGTGTTAGCCTTTGGAAGGATAGTTGGAGCAATGCAGGAGTGCTTGCTAATGCTTTCCCAAGATTATACATGCTATCTACAGGAAAGGAAAGCTCTATACAGGAACTGGGTAGCTGGGAAGGTGAAACATGGTCGTGGAACTTTGAATGGAGGCAAAGCTTGTTTTCCTGGGAGACCGAATCACTACAGGATTTAAAGCAATGGATCGATATGATTGAATTCCCAAAAGACAAGAAGGATACTTGGATCTGGAAGGCGGAGAAGAAGGGATTATACACAACAAAATTAGGATACAACAAACTTGTCCATCAACAACCTTCATCACAAGAATCATTATTTATAAGGTTATGGAACAGTCACATTCCTAACAAAGTTTGTGGGTTTGCGTGGTTATTATTGCATGACAAGATTCCATCAAAGCTCAATCTGTTCAAAAGAGGAATAGTCACAGAAATAGAAGCAACTACATGCGGGTTATGCAACAAATGTGTGGAGGATGGTGACCACCTTTTCCTCCATTGTATAATTGCTTCAGGAATTTGGATAAAATGCATTCAATGGTGGGGTCTAAGCACTGTACTTGCTGGAACATGTAAGGATTCTTTTATGTAGCATGAAGACATGGTATCCAAAGCAAATAATCGACTAGGCTGGGCTGTTGTTTGGTACTCTTTGGTATGGACAATTTGGAATACCAGGAATGAGGTACTATTCAAAGGGGGCCATGCGAATGTGGATCGGATGTTTGATCAAATACAAGTGAGGTCCTTTTTGTGGAGAAAAAATATAGGGAAAGGAGGAAGTTTTACTTTTTTGGATTGGATTCTAAATCCCAATGGTTGTAAAATCTCTTAAGCAACCATAAAATATGCCATCAATTGGCAAGGCAACGTTTGAGTCAGATTTTTTGTATGCTTTTTTTATGTAAATGGGTTTGAGTATCCCTTATACTCAAAAATATAATTTTTTTTGCCTTTCGAAAAAAAAAAAAAAAAAAAAAACTCAGGAATGTTTGCTACTGTTCCAATCTCACTTAGCATCTTAAGAACAGCCTATATATTTAAATATAAAGGAAACAAGGTTAGGAACCAGTGAAATTCATATGACAATTAAAAATGATAGAATAAAGAAAGAAAAATTAATCACTAACAGATCAAAGTGCAAAGTTTTGCCAAAGATATTTCTAACGAATAATAATTTCCAGGTCGGTCACCACTTATTAGTATGGACAAAATTAAAAACCAGAATAACGTGATTGCCAATACCTCATTTGCTCCACCATGGAGAGGACCATAAAGTGCTCCAAACTGCTCCAGCAAGAGCTGTGTATACATCAACTCCACTGCAAATATAGAGTGCAATCTTAACAACAGAATTCGGGATTGCTCTGTTTCAGTTCAAAACTAATAGGCCTACTCTGACGCAAGATGCCTAGCAGCAGCTGCTGAACAGTTCATTTCATGTTCTGCATGTAATATGAAAAGAATGTCCAGCACTCTAGCCAATCGAGGATTGGGTTTGGAAGACCTATTGTCCCTGCAAAAATGATGGTGTAAATTTTGGTTAGGCTAGAAGTGGTTTTCTTGGTTTCCTTTTTTTCTTTTTTGGCCGGTACTTCATAAACTAGTTAAGGTTTGGTTAGTAATTCCCTTTAAAATTGAAATAGTTTATGGATTGAAATGAAATTAATTATTTTTACCAGTCATTTCGAACAAAACTAACGATAGATGTAAGCCAAGTTAGCTAGAGTAACGGATACAGACGGCAGCGCTAATTTTAGGGGCTAATTTCCTAAAATCATAAGTTTCAGAGCTTATCACCTCGAAAATTAATTTAAGGGCTTAGATAAAAATATGGGAAGAGTTTGGAGTTTTGCCTTGTATATGTGGCTGTCGTGTGGATAAGCAGCCAGAGCCACTGTGAATTAGGTAGGAAATGAATTATTGAGGTTTCTGATCCACTGAAGAAGACTCAATCGAAGTCAGCTAAAGAAGACAAAGCAAATGATAGAGGAGTGGTGGCCCCAGGGTGGGACAAATTTAAAGGTGAGTTGTTGGTTGGTAGGACTTTTCAGACTTCAGAGGTTCATCTCAGTGTTTTTAAGAACGAAACAAAAATTAAATTATTTTGATCTTTCGTTCTCAATTTTACAGATTTAACCTGTTTGATTGCTTAAATTTTTGGTATG